AGGAAAAATTTCTTTACTGAAAGAGTGGTTAAACATTGGAAGAGGCTGCCCACGGAAGTGGGTGAGTCACCATCCCTGGAAGTCTTTAAAAGACGTGTAGATGAGGCGCTTAGGGACATGGTTTAGTGGGCATGGTGGTGTTGGGTTGACGGTTGGACTCGATGATCTTAGAGGTCTTTTCCAACCTTAATGATTCTATGATTCTATGATCAGGGTTCTCATTAGTATTTGTGTTCACAGCAGGAAGCCATTTTCCTCAGCAACAGCTAAAGGCCTCAAGGCAGATCCGCTGTATGTGTCTGTCCCCAGGCTGGACACCCCAAAGCTATCACGGGCATATCCTGGAGCAGAGACTGGAAAACCACCAGATTTCATCTCTTTGGTATTTGTAAGCCCAGTTGTTCTGTAGCTGTGGACAGATTTTGTCCAGAAAAAGAAGGTTGTCTCCTTTTTCCCTTCCCTTGCTGGCTTGTGCTTCCTACACGATACCTCTGAGCCATGGTTGATGTCTGCCACCCAGCTGGAGGGAAAGCACAAGCGAAAAAGCACGGCAGCCTTGCTGGACGCAGAGAGGGGCTCCACACACCTTGGGCACCTGCCGTCCCTCTGAAAACGGCAAGAAGCGAGGCAGTGAACAGGAGCTGAGTGCCAAAACACTGCTGTGGAACCAGCCGTGCACCAAAAGCACCGTACGGGCTGAAACCCGAGGCCCGGTGTTTTATATTTAATATTTTCAGTACCACAAGCTTTAGAGAAAGGTGAGAGGCACTTGAATTAGCTGGCTAATTCAATTCCTAGTAAAGGAAGTTACTTTTAAATTTCTTAAAACAATTTATGCTCTGAAATACAAGTTAGTCTGTCCTTCGGAGGGGTAACTTTGGTCTTCAGCTACCGTGGCAGCACAGTTCTGGGCGCTGCTACCTGTTTCGTTTGTCCCCATCTGTACTTCTGACAGGTCAAAAGAAAGACTCGTTTTGGAACTTAAATCTATGGAATCTATTAACTATTTCTTAAATATCAAGAAATATGTACTTAACGCTTAGGAAACTGGCATGGGTGAGCCATGCTCCCACTGGGGCAGGATTGGCGTCCCTAATGCAGAGCTGATTTAGTGAGTATGCAATGACGAGTATGTAATGAGAACCATCTGACTAGACACGTGAACTTAATAAACAGATATTTTTGTTTCCTCCACAAAATCATTAAGAGGTAAGTGCTTTGTGGCCCTAACTGAAACCCTTGCAGGTATCTGGTCTTCTGCAACCAGTAAGTGCTTCACAAGAGCCATCCCAAGACTTGGTTTACGTGCCTGCAACTCCTGGCACCAAAGTGAAAATCTGGAAGAGACTGGCTATGATTGGGATGGTTTTGGCAGAGGACCAGGCACCCTGTTCCCGGCCGGAGCCGAGTGAGGCGGGCGGAACGCTGGTGCGCGGAACGCTCGGCGCAGCTCCTGTTCCCGGCCGGCAGCGCCGGGGGGACCGCGCAGGGGGACGGACCGCCGCGGGTC